TAAACACTTCCTCATATTTCTCAGGGCACAAGCACCTTGTTTGATATTTACATTCCATCTTCAATGGTACACTCAAAGCTCATGAATTTCTGGGAATTGACATAAGAATCAAGCCAAAAGATAAACCCAAAAGGCAGATCAAAGCACTTCTGTTGCCAATGCATGAAGAGCAGTCATGAATCCACGGGTCGCTGTGCTGTAGGCACAGACCTGAAGTTTGATCCACAGACCTAAAGTTAGCTCATTCTACCATAGAGTCAGTGAGGTCTATACCACAGAAAAAGATCTTTCAACCTATCAAGTCTGGCTGGCCAATAGTAAGCACCAAACTATTGTAAACCCATTTTCCAGCACTTGGCGCATATGTTTCTATACCTTGGCATCACAAGTGCACATCTAAATACTTGCTAAAATGTTATGAGGGTTTCTACCTCTACTACACTCATAGTTGATGAGTTCTAGATTCCCACCACGCACTAGGTGAGAATGTCTTTCCACAAATCCCTTCTAAACCTCCTGCCCTTGCTTTAAAGCTGTGCCCTCTGGTCATTGATCCCTCCACCGAAAGGAAAAGTTCCTTCGTGTCTACCCTATCTATTCCCCTCAATTTTACACATCTCAGTCATGCCCCTCCCAGTCTCCTCTGCTCCAAGGAAAACAATCCCAGTCTGTCCAATCTATCTTCAGAACCAAAATTCTTCAGCCCAGGCAACATCCAGGTAAATGTAACTGTAGCTCATTTCTGGATCTATAGGTTAAGCAGGTGAGCCTGGATCGCCACTCTTGATCACTATTGAGCAATTAGTTGCACAAGGACAGAATTTGGTTTGTTAGCAGCCTTAATGCATACAAGAAGAGGCACTGACACGGTATTGGAGTGCTGACAAGTGCCAGGCAACAACTGCAACCCTTACATGCCAGATAATGAATATCTTTAACAAGAAGAGGCTACAATACCCCATCCTGCACTTCACTAGCGCCATCAACAATATTCTGATATCACTAATAACCAAAAATTTACAAAGACGAGCTAGATCAACATGGAGCTATCTTAAAGCCTCGTCACCATGTGTGAGGAGGTGATAGATTACTTACTACTCAACTGGATCGGTACAGCAATAAAAAACCTCAAGACATTCAATGCATAGCCTCAAATGTCTGCTTTACCAGTAACACTGCTTTTATATTCTGTGTCCACCCCTAAACCATCACCACACTACTGCTACAGAGCATCACTTTCTACCGGAATCACTATGTCAGCACCGTATTTACTTCAAAGGCACCTCCAACCACATGGTCTCTGCCATTACGAAGGACAAAAGCAGCATGTTCTTGGAAACAGCTTTACTTTCTAGCTCCCCTTCAAATCCATTCTGACATTGGAACAGATTATGATTTCTCTATCACTGGGTCAAAATAGTAACATTTCTTTCCTTTTCTTTCTGGTTAGTGGTAATCAGGGAGGTGATGATGATGAGGGGGGTTATATCCTTACGTGTCAAGGGGAGGGTGGAAGGACAAGCTTTTTCTTATCAGAGATGGTTATTGTGTTGGAGTTACAATATGCTGCTTTTATCTGCCAATTGTCAGCCCTTGCCTGGATGTTATCCAGGTCGTAGCTTGATGCAGAATGCTTTATTAACAGAGAAACAGTGAATGGAACTGATCACTATGGAATCATCAGCAAACAGGTACACTCATGACTTTATGATAGAACGATGAAGCAGCTGAATATGGTTAGCCTGAGGATGCTCCTGAAGAATCCCTAGAGTGATGCCCTGTGCCTGTGATGACTTGGGCGCCAGAGCTAGCTAGTCACGAACAAGCTATTCCAGTACAGGTATATCATTGTTATCTACCCAATAATACCCAAGGGATGGCATGGTGGCACAGTGGTTAGAACTGCTGTCTCACAGCACTAGGTACCTGGGTTCAATTCTAGCCTCAGGCAACTGTCTGTGTGGAGTTTGCACGTTCTCCCCATGTCTGCGTGGGTTTCCTCCAGGTGCTCCAGTTTCCTCCCACAATCCATGATGTGCAGGTTAGGTGGATTGGCCATGGGAAATGCAGTGGTACAGGTATAGGGTAAGGGGTTGATTTGAGTGGGATGCTCTTCAGAGGGTCAGTGTAGATTGAATGGGCCAACTGGTCTGCTCCCAAACTGTAGGGATTCTATAATAAGTGGAAGATTGCCCAGATTTGCCCTATCCCCATAAATTTGACCTAGTCATTTACTGCCTCTCAATTTCCTCCCATTCATCAGCAAAAGGATAAAAGGAGTCAGAAATGCTGCCTTTAAACAAATTATTAATAAGCCGGAATATGAAAATTGTCTATTTCATTTTCTTTTGGGATCTTATTGACTTCTGAAACTTAATCACCCTTGGCAATGTTGGTCAATGCCTGGGAAATGTTTGCTAATATAAACTCTCTGGTAGCTTCACAGTATCCTGTCACCTTTGCTTTTTTAATCCAACATTAAGCTGGTAGCTCAGCAGCACAGTGTTTGAACAGCAATTGCACTATAAAAAATAATCAGAAGGTCTTCCAGGATCAAAGAGAAAACCTGCCACAGGAAACATGTTATTTCTTGAACTAAGTAGAATCAAACAGCCTTATAAGAAACTTTAAGCCAGCCACAGAAAGGAAATTAAACTAGGCGAGGGTGAAGTGAAGAGGGCAAATAGGGTTTCAGGTGAGACAGAGGTATAGAGTCAGTTTGACATAAATGACCAGAGATATACATAAAAAACAAAAACTGAGAATGAGGGAATTTGTGACAAGAAGAATTTATAGGAACATGTCTGCATGTGACTACTAGTAGAATTAGCAACAAGTTAATGCGACTGGAAATTTTGTGGCAACGATGAGTTATGTTGTCATATCAGAAACATGCCTGCATGTAAAAGGTGGAAATAAATACAATTGGAAGTACAGACTGTATAAAAAAGATGGGACAAATGAAATGCTGTTGCAATTTTTCTTTCCTGTCAGTTTCTACATTTATGTGGTTTCAATTCCATCTGCTATCATTCTGTTCACTTACAAAGCTCCATACAACTAACTGTAGAATTTAACTGTCTCTCATAATCCAATCACGACATCTAGTTTTGGCAAATGTGATCACCTTGCATCAAGTTTATATGCCCAGGTCAATTCTGTAAAATAGCAATGATAGTATTCCCAGTAGGATTGAGCCTCAAGGTACACATTCAATTCTTGTACATCACTCTGATATTAATACCTTAACATCTAAGCGAAATTGTTCATAGAACATAGAACATAGAACATTACAGCGCAGTACAGGCCCTTCGGCCCTCGATGTTGCGCCGACCTGTGAAATGAGAGATTTGAAGATTTACACCACACAGAAGGTCAACTTGTTTTTCCCTCACAGATATCCCTGGTACACCATTAGTTTTATTTACCCATTGTCTTCTCAAACAATGAATGATGTTGGTATGGCTAATGATGATGCAGAAATCTTAATAGATTGATTGCTTCAATGCATCCAAACAATATATAATCAGTAAGGAGTAAAGTTTGTTGGACGTTGACCAACATCACCCAGGAAATGAAACATCAGCCAGAGGAGGAAATGATCTTAAGTAAAAACAAAATACTGCAAATGCTGGAAATCTAACACAAATGCTAAGAATGCTGGAGAAACTCAGTAGGTCTGGCTGTGGAGAGAGAAAGAGTTAACGTTTTGAGCTCAGTATGACTCTTCTGCTGTACAGACCTGCTGCCAGACCTGCTGAGATTCTCCAGCATTCTCTGTGTTTGTTTGATGCATTGATTTTGTCACACTAAATCTTAAAGACCGCATCGGTTCTATTTGTCAAGTCGGGGCTAGGTGTTCAAAAATTGGAAACAGCACCAAAAAGAACCCAAAGTTAATCTTTATGGACCTAAATTATGAGAAGCATCTAGTGCAACTTATTAATTTTGAAAGGAGACATTTGAGAAGCAATCTTGAGGTCTACAGATTCTAGGTTTAAGAAAGATTAGTCTTGAATGTTACTTTAAACTGCACAAGGAGGCACAGGATCAAACGCTCGTTTTTGGGACAGATCTCAGAATTTCTCTTTAAAAACGACCCTGATGTAGAATGTGGAGTATAGAGCAGGCAGCAGTACTGAATTCAGTGAAGTACCTGAAGGTTTATTGGATTTCCCCGCAGTGATGAGGTGGTATTTGTTGGGACTTTCCCCGGTGAGACTTATTGATCGTTCTGGCCTGTTAATGAAGCAAAGTCCAGTTCGCAACATGAACTTTGATCTCCAATTGGATTAACTACGGGTCTGTTCATGCGTGGATTCCCCTCCAGAGAAATTGCCAAGCGCAAATCCCTTTCGCAGCTCAACAGTAAATAACTCAAGCAGAATAATTTAAACTCGCTGTCGCCTGCGTGAGCGAAATGCGCCATCCCTCAACACATAATCCCAGACATTCCATGTGGCAGCAAAAAACTAGCTGCAACATATTTGTAACTCGCTGTTCCCAAAAGCAATCAAGTGAATGAATATTGCAATAATCTCTTAAAGCATTTGTCAACGTTTCCAAATAAAGACATAATTTATGACATTAATGAATAATTAGAACGGTTCGATCAGAAATTCAGTTACCTTGTTTTTGGATTCTAGTTTCTCTAAATAACCCTCGAAGTAGCCAGGGCTGACAAAAGTTCTGTGTCGTGTTGGTCTTGGGGATGACATTGCAGCTGGACTGGTGCAGAAGAACTAACTGGCTCAGAGACCGCAGGCTGAGTGAGTTATGCCCAGTTGCAGGAAGTGTCTAAGTTTGGAATGTCTCAGTGACTTATACCTGAGCAATGTTGGACAGGTCTGTCCCGCCCTCTCCTCGCAATTGATTGCACCAGGGAGATTTGACAGGCTATAGAGGTCCCAAGGATTGGTTCCCATTAATGCCCATCAAAAAGATTTTGTAACCCTAATGAAGAAACATGATCTGCTGAATTTATCTCAGAGCATACTTACGCTGCGTCCACGTATAAATGTTTTGAATGTTTGTAGGTTTTGAAGTAAAATAGAAATGACATGAATTCCAAAGAGCCTTTCCAAAGGAATTTGTAGGACCAAGCGTCAGTAGTAAGAAACTTTGTTCGTAGTTCTATCTCCTTAGTTCCAGTCTTGTCCAAGATATCCCCCGGTCCTTTTGCTCTCCTGTAGAGAGTCCTCTAAAGAAAGGTGTATATTTATACAGAGCCTTCCTCAACCACTGTACCCTTTAAAGCGCTTTATAGTCAATTAAGTACTTTGATTTGATTTGACTCGATTCGTTTTATTTATTGTCACGTGTATTTTGTTACAAAATACAGCGAAAGGTTTTGTAAAAGTGTCTGGTGCCATTTCAAAACACAGAAAAATAAACCAAAACATAGAATCTAAAAGAAGAAAAATGAAGATATTAAGAAAAAGTAGTCAACTTTATAGTCTGAGATAGTAGGAATTGCCGATGCTGGAGAATCTGAGATGACAAGATGTAGAGCTGGATGAACTCAGCAAGCCAAGCAGCATCAGAGGAGCAGGAAAGCTGATGTTTTGAGTCAGGACCCTTCTGAACCCTCCTTTTCTGAAGAAGGGTCCAGACCCGAAACGTCAGCTTTCCTGCTCCTCTGATGCTGCATGGCCCGCTGTGTTCATCCAACTTTACAACTTTATAGTCTTTCTTGTTAAGTGCTCCATCATGGGCCACGGTCCCGGTGGCCAGGCATGAGTCCCCTTTGCTGTGCCCCCACTGCTGGAACAAAAGTTGCCCACTCTTTGGTGCCTCACACCTCCACCGATGCCCTCGCCTCTGTGTGCCCTTGCTGAACTTCGCCAATGCAGAGGCCACCGATGCCACAAGGACTGCACCAAGCACAAACTCGACTCCCCTGCCGCCATGAATCTGCTTCAGGCCCACCTCGTCGATGCAGCCAGGTCTTGTGCTGGGCCCAAACTCACCTCCGCCACCACCTCCATGAATCTGCACAGGATGCAAACGCCACCGGGAACCCAAACTCTCCTCCACTGCAGCAGCTAGGGCCGCCTCGTTCATGCAGAAGCTGCCAGGAACCCAAACTTGCCTATGACACTGCCACCACAAGGTCCATGCTGGGCTGACTCAAGTCTGCGCTGGGCACACCCCTTTAGATGTGCCAGCTGTTAAGGTACGAAGCCCAGCAACTAAAATACGACAAAGGACTGGGGATGCTGAAGATCTAAAACAAAAATCTTTGAAATAGTGGCATCAGAGAAGATCCCTGATCAGAATGAAGAAATATGATCACTGAACAACTTTAAAATCATGATTGCATAATGTCACATTACTACTTTAAAATTCTCTTACAGTTTTTGAACAACTTCACAAATAAACCAGGGGGAGGATGAGGCAAATATCTTTCTACTGGCAGTTAATTATGACCTGGAATGTATTGCCTGTTACATCTGGTGGAAGCAGATTGAGTAATAAATTTCAAAAGGGAATGGTTGTATACTTGGAAAGGAAATCATTGCAGGGCTGTGCGGTATGACTTGGGGAAAGGGACTAATTGAGATCTTTAAAAATACTTCATTGTCTTTAAAGTGCAGTGAGCCATCTTAAGGTTGTGAAAGGTGCCAAATGAATGATTATGTCTCCTTTTTCCAACTGCTGCACCCACTTCCTGCAACACTTTCCAAAACAGCTTTTTGATATCAACACATGTATTATAAATCTAAAAATGTTCTGACTCACAGTGAACAATACATTATATTAAAACTTCTGAAAATGACTCATTTATGACTCGGTGTAAACATCTCTCATCTCTGAGGCTGAAGATTGCAGGTTCAAATCTCAACAGAAGCACCTAGGCACAGAATCCTAGGTAACCAGATGCTGTGTCACTGTTAAAAGTGTCATCTTTTAAATGAGATTTTAAAGGAAGATCTGTCTGTCTTCTTAAAAAAAACCACAGCACAAGTTCAAAGAAGAGCAGGTAGCTCTCTGCGATCTGGTGAATATATATTCTTCATTTAACATCAATAATATTGTTAGCCTGGTCGTTATCCTATTGCAGTTTGTGGGAGTTTACTGTGTACAAATTGGTTGCTGTGTGTCTTATCCTACAACAGTAATAACAATTTAAAAATTAACTCATAAGTTAAAAGGGCTTTGGGACACCCTAAAGACATCAGTGATGCTGCATCAATGCAAATCTTTCTTTTTCTCTTCAAGTGTTATGTGTACTTGTTTGTTAGTAGCACCATTATCGTTACAAAGGTCCATTCATGCTTGAATTACCGTGAATAAATGTGTGGGAGTCATCTGTTCACATAGTGTAAGAGAGACTCGGGGAGAGAATGGAATGGCAAAACCTCTCCAACATGATAGAAAGCTATCATATTTACATTAGCTTTCTTAAAAAAGCAATCCACTTTGTGGGATTGCTCAGCAATTTACACAAATATTTTCTGTTTAAAATATTTAACTATTTCCAGCTAAAACAATCGTGAAGCAAGCTCTCAGCACTATTCCTGTCAGGATGTTCCATTGAAAATAAAAAGAATCTGATAAGCTCTTGCGTTGCTCTTTATTGCAGATCACCACATATCAATTCATTGGCAAATGTAAATAGACCATACCTATTCAAGATTCTTAATAATTTGAAGGCTTTATCTGAAGCTTTCTCTGAACCTTCTCTATAAGTGACAAATCAGACTTGTGATGGAATGTCGTCCATGTGCCTGGTATGGTTGCAGCTCCAACAAAACTCAAGCAGCTTTATGTCATCGAGGCCTAACCTTTTCATCAGTAACCCATAATGACCTTAAACATGATGTGCCTCAGCCACCAGTTTTTCACAGAGTATAGTATGTTTCAACTGTTGCCTTAACTTCATTTACCAAAGCTGCAACCTGTACAACTTTGAAGGACAATGCCAACGATTGAACAAACATCTTCAAATTCCCCTTTCAAGTGAGCTATCAAACTGACTTAGACATAAATTGCTGTTTCTTATTTGTCATTCAATCGAAAGTCTAGAATTCCGCACCAAATAGAAACATGTAAGTTCATTCAACACACACTTCAGTGGTTCATGAAGGTTGCTCATTATCATCATCTCATAGTAACCAAGGAATGGACAATAAACATCAGCTTTGCTGGCACTGTTTTTATCCAAGGAATAAGTTTTAAAACCACAGAGATGGTGATAGTACAGAGAAAGGAATAACAACCGTACTCCTTTGTTTTCTGAACTGGATATTTCCTTATCATAAGTATCCCCAAATAATAAAGTCTTTGATCCCTTTTTTTTGGTCCACATGCATTCTCTTCCCAACATGTGTGCATGAAGTGTTTTTAAAATCTTTTTCATAATTATAGATACCTTATATAGGCACATTGTTACAAGTTTGTCTTGGGTTAAGATGCTAAAGGGTTTTCATTTATTCTTTCACTTGTCAAGGCACAGGTGTTAGTTCTAAAGAATTAAATACTTTGCATTTCAAAGATACTGTGAGCAGCCACCATTCCCAGATTAAGTATAACTTGGGTTACAATCCGATTAAAACTCTCACCAACGTGCTTCAAACATACTGCCTTAGAGAGCACTATTACTGTACCACGGTGATAGCTTTCTATTTCCTCACACAACAACACCGTAGCCTTTCAAAGTGAGAGTGCTAAGAGAGTCTCATTGTTTTGGAGGCAGTTATTTTCCAATGGGTTCGTACCTGTGTCATAACGGTATACCACAGAGAAGGAGTCCATTTAAACTATGGTGCACTTTTTAAATTCACTTCTGGGATGTGGGTGTCGCTGGCTGGCCAGCATTTATTGCCCGTCTCTTGTTGCCCTTGAGAAGGTGGTGGTGAGCCGCCTTCTTGAACCGCTGCAGTGCATGTGCTGTAAGTTGGTCCACAATGCCCTTGGGGAGGGAATTCCTGGATTTTGACCCCATGACAGTGAAGCAATGGTGATATATTTCCATGTCAGGATGGTGAGTGGCTTGGAGCAAACATGCAAGTGGCGGTGTTCCCATGCATCTGCCGTCCTTGTCCATTTGGATGGAAGCGATCATAGGCTTTGAAGATGCTGTCTAAGGAGCTTTGGTGAATTTCTGCAGTGCATCTTGTAGGTAATACACACTGCAGCTACTGAATGTTGGTGGTGAAGGGAGTGGATGCTTGTGGACATAATGCTTTGTGCTGGAAGGTGTTGAGTTTCTTGAGTGTGGTTGGAACTGCATCCAGGCAAGTGGAGAGTATTCCATAACACTTCTGACACTTGTCAGTTCTTTGTCACAGCTATGCAATTAAACCTATTCACCTGCTTTTTTCCCTTAGCACATTCATTTTGCCTTGACAGTTTTTTAAATTCCTTTTGCAAGTTCGATTTTGCTACTGCACCTTTTTCAGGCAGCACTTTCCAGGCCTTAATAACTCACTGTAAGAATAAAATTGCTACATTCGCCCTCTGTTTCCTTTCCTAATTACCCTAAATCTCTGCCTTCTGCTTATTGGTGCTTCTACCCCCAGTTTGCCTTACTGGTTCCATCGAAACCGACCTGATCTTGAATTATATTTCTGTTAAATTGTCTCTGAACTTTCGCTACTTTAAGGAGAACGACCAGCTTCACCTGTTTCTTCATGCAACTGAAGTTCCGCACCACTGCACAGCATCATCAACAACAATAACATCATCATCATCATCATCATGTGTGCTCTGCCCAAAGGTAGGTACTTGCTTCAAGGTAATCTTTCCACATCTCTTTATTTTGTGTCAGTTATAGAGTCATACAGCATGAAAACAGACCCTTCAGTCCAACTAGTCCATGCAGACCATTTTCCCAAACTCATCTAGTCCCATTTGTTTCATTTGCCAAAAATCCCTTCTATTTTCAAACCCTCTTGTATCGATATCCGTCTTCTTTCTCTCCCTCTTTTGCCTTGAAATCTTCCCTCAATAACATCTGTTACAAATATTTTTCCTATTAAAATTTCCCCTACCCAGACTTTCTGATTTGGTTCACCAAATGTTTTTGTTTATTCTCTCTCCTCAGCACTTCTTCTTTTATTATGTTTCTTGTACAGGTGATCCTTTGCAATATCCTCTAAAACCGCATTTCAAAGTTATTTATCAATCTCCTTCTTTGCCTCCTACTTCCAAAAGGTCCAAATCTCACAACCACACAAAATCACACTCCAA